CCTATCTCAAGAGAGGAAATAAAAGATCATAACCTCAATACGGGAGATCTCTCAATGGTCCCAGGTAGAGGTGATGTCACTGGCAAGGATTCTTTGGGTGATGGTCTCCTATCAGGACATCATCCAATGGTCTTGCTTTCATCTCCACCTTCTACAGAAGTTCCTCCTTCCATTTCAGGAGTTGATAGTCAAGAGGCGGGACAAGCTGGTTTAACCCCTGGCATCTCTGATTCAACAACTCCAGTGGTGGACAAGCCCCAGAAGATTCCTGGAGGGGACTCAGCTAAGGGAGCTGAAGAGGACACTTATGACCTTGGATGTCAACCTCATTGTATGGGGGGCTCACTCTTAAGGGAGAATGGTGCAGGGCACTTGGTCCCAGGAGGAAATGTCCCAGAGTATCAAGTTGCTGGAACTCGGGGTGATCAGGCTAGGCCTGTTGGCCTTCAGAGATCTTCTGACAGGACACCATATGCTTGTGCATATACACAACATGACAGCGAAGTCCTATGTCAACCAACAGGGGCACCAGATCCAGGTCTCTGAACACAAAAGATAGGCTGATGCTTCAATGAGTGGAAACCCATCAGAAGTCAATCAAGGCCTTGCACATAGAAGGATGCACAAATACAGTGGCAGACTGGCTCAGGAGGAGAATGCTGGACCACACAGAGTGGATGCTGAACAAGACGACCTTTCAACAGATATGCTACAGGTTCAGAGAGGTGGCTATGGACCTGTTCTCAACAGAACAGAATTGTCAGCTCCCAAGATTCATCTCAAAGACAAGATCCCAGTGTGCCATAGGGGTAGACACACTAAGCTGTTAGTGGCCGGATCTCCTACTCTGTGCTTCCCCCCGACACAGATAATACAGAGTGGTTCAGAGGATCATAGAGCTGCAGGTGGAGATGGTATTAGTGGCTCCATTTTGGTGTGGTTTCAGAACTCGATGAAGCTATCGAGCAGGGAGCCGTGGTGTCTCCCAAACAGAGGGGATCTTCTCTTGCAGGGGCCCCCAGTGGACCCACAGATCCAGCTGCTAAGCCTCACAACTTGGAGGTTGAGTGGGCACAACTCAAGGAGATAGCTTACGCAGAAAGGATCATAGACACTCTAGTAGCTTCCAGGAAAGGGTCCACCAATAGGGCATATAAGAACACTTGGCAGGTTTTCCAGGCTTGGTGCTTGGACAATGGGGTGGAACCCCTCACAGTGAATGTGGGAGATGTCCTGGTCTTCTTACAAGAAGGCCTGGAGAAAGGTCTTAGCACTAGTACCCTTAAAAGACAAATGGCAGCTATCTCAGCAGTTAGAACTACTTTCCAGCATCCCCCTATAAAAAGGTTCCTGAGGGGCTTCACCTTAATTAATCCACCTCAGGTTCATCATTTTCCCACCTGGAACCCATGGCCACGTGCTCTTTCAGGGAGCTTATATTCCTAGGGGGGATCATCTTAGCTACAAGGGTATTGGAACTAGGAGGTCTCTCAGCAAACAAGGAGCTCAGTGTTTTTCATAACAACAGAGTAGTGCTCAGAACAGTGTCCTAAAAGTAAACTCCACTTTCCACAGGTCTGAGGGTATAATCCTGCCATCCTTCTTTCCAAATCCCAAATACCCTCAGGAAAAGGGATGGCCCTGTTTGGATGTAAAAAGGGCCCTGAGTTTCTATTTATTTATTTATTTATTTTTAATTCAATTTATACCCCGCCCTCCCCACAATGCAGGCTCAGGGCGGCTTAGTTCTATTTGGATAGAACTAAGACTTATCGGAAGAATTTGTTCATCTCTTTCAGGAAGTCCCCCTTGGGACACAAGGTTTCTACTTCCACCATTAGTAGGTGGACTAGGGACTGTATAATCTTTGCTTACAAGTCTGCAGGCCTGGATCTTCCCCCAGGTGTCACAGCACACTCCCTCAGAGGGGTGGCAACCTCAGCATCATATAGATCCTTTCCCTCCTTGGAGGTTATCTGCAAGGCTGCCACATGGAGGACCCTCCATTCATTCACCAGGAACTATAGGATTGATAGGTTGAGGGTCCTACGGCATGCCATTACAATCTAGGAACCATCTCTCCCTCCCAGGGACAAACTGCTTTTCTATGTCCCAGAGGTCAGACTGCCCCACCCCAGGACCACTGGAGAACAGAAGATTTATCTCACTTACTGGCAATGCTCCCTCTAAGCTGTGGAGTCTTGTGATCAAAAAATTCTACTTTGTGAGCTACTGGCATTAAAGTTGTGAGCGAGCGATTTGGCTACTGCATAAAATAGTTTGCTCTGAAGCCATCGTTCCTGAGCTAAGACAAAAATGTGTGAGCTGGAGGCTAAAAAACTGTGAGCTAGCTCAGACTAACTCAGCTTAGAGGGAACATTGCTTACTGGTGAATCGTCCTTCTTAAAGGTCCGGGGGTGGGGCAGTTACCAAGGGTAAAATTTAGGACAGTTCCCATCACCAAGAGGGCATCCTGTACATTACCAGAACTATGAGTTTATTGTCCTTCTTGTGATTAGCCTGGTGAAAGTAATGGAAATGCAAGAGGTTTTGCCTTAGATTTTGGGTTAGTCTTAGTTTTCTTCTCTGACTACCTTGACATATGATGTGGCCAAGAAATAGCATGGATTTAAGTTAATACTTGGGAGAGGGGTCTTTTATTGCTTCAGGAGGACACTGGAGGATGTGAGAGAAGCCTCTCCCCCTGCAGGAATTGTAAAGAAGTGGTGACCCTGTCTGCCTATAGGGAGAAGCTTCTCCCAGAGGTCAGACTGCTCCACCCCTGGACCACCGAGAAGTAAGATTCTCCGGTAAGTGAGATAAATCTTCCATTATTATTGATGGGACTCCAAGCATACAAAATTCACTGTTTAAAATTAGAAAGAAACACTATAATGAAATCATTTCATTTTGTCTTCTTAACAACTCTATGATTTCAGTTCTTGTGAGACATGGGTATGCCATTCAGTAAGCTTCGTGTCTAGGTAGGGTTTGAACCTAGGTCTTCCATGCTCAAGACTCCCTCCAATATACCACACAAAATTGTAAAGACTTGTTAGTAGCGTCTAAATCACAGTCATTTTGTCATTGGTTAACTGCTCAATCTACAGACATCAACGATCTTTAGCTGCCCCTTGACTCTGCTTTTTCTTTTTGAGTGTTACTGCATTTCAGCACTTTTGCTGTCACTACTTTCCCACCTTCCTAAATTGATGTGCAATTACATGAAATTGCTCCAATTCTTTGTCTAAAGGCTTCATTCATGAGCTATAACCAGAACCTATGAAACATCTGTGGAAGAATTATGAGCTTTGCCATGGAGCATCACAGCACTGCTCTTTGCAACATCATAATAACTATAGAATATTTTAAACATTTCCTTTTTAATTCCTTCCTTTAAGTAAACTGAATATTAAAGGTAGTAATGGGGAAGATGCCATTGGTAGATAACTTTTGCAAGTAATTCCATATTTGTCTTAGCCTTTGCTCTTGTGTATGTGTGTTAAATTGTCTGTTATTGTCCTGGACAATTGTGTTCAAAATGTAAACTAATGCAGAGAATCATTGGCAAGAATTATTTTGTGAGATGTTGAATTTTCAAGCGTATTTCTCAAATTGTCTAAAGTGGAAAAGGGTAAAAAGGGTAATAAATTTTGAGACATCAAAACAGGAGAAGAGAGCAAATGTATGCTCCCAAATACCTCCAGAATTTTCTTTGAAGGTATGATGATTTTACCCTCCCGCACAGAGTTTCCCTTTATCTTGTTCTTGACTGGGCTGCCTCTTTTCCTTTATCCTTCTCTGGCTGGCCCACCTGGTTGTTTGAACTTATATTGCTAAATGCTGACCCAGCTTAGGAAACTCAGGGGAGAGTCTAAAATCCTTCTTTTGTCTTTGTTTTATAATGGCACATGAGAGGCTGATGGTAGTTCAAAACTGACAAACTGTTTTATTTCAGTTCGAGGGGAAATGGTCAGGTAAGAATTAGGTTTAGAACTCACAAGGTCAACAGGCAACAGGAATTAGGTAACTTTGTATAAAAATGAACACCAGATAATTTGTCACAAACAAGTAACTGTTTCTATTATTCAGACCAGTGTTTAAAACTTGAGGAGAGAGATTACCTGGCAGTTTTTTTTCCCCTTTCATAAACTAGCATAGCCTTCTAGGTCTCACAGACCCTAAAGTTCGTGAAGGCATTCACACAAGTTCCAGTTTCCTTCCTTATTCACTTCTTCAGACTTGATAGGGATGTGCTACGAGTCCCACTTCCCTAATTCAGGATCCTTTTGATCCTCTCACAGTCTGCTTCACTCTCTCACTGACTCTCTCAACTGAAGAATTCCATTCATCCCCTGTCACTCAAGGTTCTTAGACCAGGTTATAACCTTAATCATTTACTGTCCATCATAGGAACTGTTTTTCATGAGTCCAGGATACAAAATAAGTTGCTTGGAATTTTTCCAAAAGGGCTGTCCAAAAGACAAGAGTTTTTGACTATACTACTATTTGTAAGACTGTTTGAACTTTTACTGAGCAGTTGAGAAATATATTCAACTAGTTATGGGGCATCTGAAGACATTTTCTGCATAATTTCTCTGGTACTGTATGACAAATTGGTGTTTGCTTTTTGTCATTTTCACTTTTTTAAAAGTTTCCAGTGTAATGAGTGCGTGATTTGATTAGTGAGACTGAATTGTACAATTATAACTTAATTAGCATATGAGAGTTTTCTGCCAGTTGGGAGGAAATCAGAATTTTAAAAATGATGGCTCCATGAATTAGCCTTGGTGCAAACTGCTGAATAGGTTGACCAGGAAAGAATAATGACCTGATGGAAATTAGGAGCAACAAGTAAAAGGTTTGGGGGCTTGTTTAGGGTTTGTTTTAGTTGGTTGATTGGTTTTGGCCTCTTACCTCTTGAATAGCCAGGTCCTACTAATGTTGTTTTCACTGAGGTTTTCACTTGTTTAGTAACCCACCATTCCTACTTTGTACAGCAAAGCCCACCAACCACCGACAAGGAGAAAGCTCCATCTCAGCAGGCTCATCAGCCAGTAGCTTTGGCAGTGGATACAGTGTGGACAGTGAAGGAAGCAGCAGCACCAGCATCACCGGAGACACCAATATGTATCCCATTCCGAGAATGTAAGGCTTTTTCCAAAATGCTTGGAATTCCATTAACTGGACTTATGTTTCATCCTTTACAGTCTGATGCTTTTCCCCCTTGTGACGTTCCTTCAGCCCAAGTTTAGTCATGTTTACTCAGAAGTAAGTCAATGGTACTTAACTCCAGCAAAGTATGCATAGGATTGCAGGCTACCTTTATTTGTTCTGAACTTGTAGACCAATCTTCCAACCTTAAGCAGTCATAAAACTCAGGAAGAAGCCCTAGAAGGCTCAAGCCAGAAGCAGAACAAACATTATGCCAAACCTCAGCCTAGTTCTCCTCAGACTTTAGTGAAATTCACCAGTCACATGAAACTGAGCACAGAAGGTACCCTCAGAATGCTCCCAGTGCATTTGGGGGGGGAATTAAATATAATATATTTCGTATTTATACCCCGCCCTCCCCAGTGGGCTCAAGGCGGCTTACAGGGGCAAGACAACCTTGCCATAATAAAACAATAATATACATAATAATTTAAAAACATATAATACATCTTAAAAAATCCTAGTTGAACAAAGTGCTCAGTGACTTCCATGATCTAGAGATGGCAGGTCGTATGTCCGAAGTTCCAAGAAGACGGCCGAAGGCTTCTTCCATACTAAGATGTTTCCTCAGGACCTCAGGGCGGTGGTAGTATAGTAGGGGCGGCAGCTCCTACTCAAAAGCCTGGCGGAAGAGCTCCGTCTTGCAGGCCCTGCGGAACTGCACAAGATCCCGCAGGGCCCGGATCTCCCCTGGGAGCTTGTTCCACCAGGTAGGAGCTGCCACCGAAAAAGCCCTGGTCCTAGTAGCAGCTAGTTTGACATCCGTGGGGCCCGGGATGACTAATAAGTTTTGGGCCCCTGACCGTAGTGCTCTTGGGGGAACATACGGGGAAAGGAGGTCCCTCAGGTAGGTTGGACCCTGGCCATATATATATTTTGTTCAATTTATATCTCGCCCTCCCTGCAAGCAGGCTTAGGGCAGCTAACAACAAAGAAGTTACAAAACCATTAAAACCAATTATAATGGTACAATAAATTATTAAAACATTAAAAGAGGCAAAACAATACATTCATTCATATAGTTCCAGCAGTGCTGACTGGATGACAGAACAAAGATGGAATGGGAAGATATAATAGGGCAGTTTTCAGCAAGGGAGGCCAGATGGTTGGGCATCCACTGCCTCAAACAAAGACCTGGCGGAACAGCTCCATTTTACAGGTCCTGTGAAGCTGTAATAAGTCTCTCAGGTTCCACCAAGCAGGGTTTGATGTCAAATAGATTGGCACAGTCCTAGGACAATACGAAAACCAAAAAGAACTGTGAACAAGTGACACTTAATAAATTTCTTTAAAGAATAAATTATACAAAAAGTGAACAGTAATAATATACATAATAATGAAAAATTGACGGTGATCTCCGGAATGTCTTGCCGTTTCGAAGGTAGATCTTCTTCCAAAAAGAAATGTGAGACAAATACTGTCTCTCGGTAATTCATTTCCTCTGGTGACGTTTCAAAGATATCAATGAAGATTTTCAATGTTCATAATAGCTGTAGTATCTAATGGAGCCTACCATGGGCTATTGGTATTGTAATGCCCCTGCAAGCCTCCAATCCAGCCTGAGAGCAACTGACTCTGTGCTGCTTCCGGTTTCTAACATCACAGTTCCTTTGCCCAGTCTCTCCTATTTCCTGCTTGGCAGAAGAGAGAAAGAAAGCCTTCCCTCGATTGGCTAAGGGCTCCTCCCCCCCTCTGGGGAGGGAGAGGGAGGGAAAGCGCCAGAGAGAGGGGGGGAAATGGCTTCTCATGGGGCTTTTAAGAAGACCAGCAATGTTTTATCCCAGGTATAAGCTTTTGTGTGCAAGCAAACTTTTTTTTCTTCAGAGACAGAGAGGGAGGGAAAGA